ACGGAATATGGGTGACCAACACCACGGCACGGAATATGGGTGACCAACACCACGTTCGGCCGCCTTTGTCTCTCTAGTGGCGATGTTTGCACACCGTACCAGGTACTCACTTGAGACTGAGTCGACTTAGGGGAGGCCCAGGACTGGTTCAGATAATGGTCACTGGTGTTGGCCGTGAGCGGCAATCGAGTTGGAGTCGCCACGTTTGTAGCGTTACCAGCTCCAATACCGCTTTACCCTATACCCTTTACCCGGTAAAAAGAGTAAACTACCTTACCCTGATACAACACGTTAAAAAGGGTTATAACTGTAAATGCTAGGTAGAGCGCTTTACTCATATAGCATACTCTCGAATCGGGCGCTGAGGCTGTCGACGACACCGTCCTCCATAACCTCCTCGTCCCAGTCGTCTTGGTCGATGGCGATCTCATCAACAATGGTGCGGGTCGACGGGCCCTCGTATCCCTGCGTCAATGTGTTGACCAAGGTCTTGAACTTGTCGCTGCCGGCGGCTCGCAAAGAGATTGCACCTCGGATAACAAAATCAACCACCGCGTTCTCACACTTTACCAGGAGGCGATCCGGGATTGCTGGCCGGCTCAGCGTTTGCTGCATTAGGCGGCTCGCCGACACCGACGTCCTGACCTCGCTGCCTGGGGCGAGCACGTTGTGCTTCTTGAGGTGGGCTTTCCACCCCGACGCGTTCGTGTTTGGTGGAAAACCATTTCCCTTGCTGCGCATGGGGATCACCCTCCATCCAATCGTCCGTGTGCTCCCACGGGAACGCATGCCGCTGCCTCTTTCGATTGCTGTTCGCAGCAACCCCAAAAATGTCGTTGCTGGCATCCTCGTCCTCTCGTACCTCTACCTCAAGAACGTGGACCGTCTCCATCTGGTTCGACATCAAGTATCGCAATTTAAAATGTAAACCACGGACTGCACCACGGAGCTTTTAGCGGTAAACAAGGCACCGTATTTACCGGGTAATACTTCGCGCTACCTTTACCGTACCGGGTAATTCTTCTGAGCTACCTTTACCCTACCCTTTACCTTTGCCCTTTTACCCGGTAAAAAAGGTAATTTACCTTACCTTGCCGAGGCCTACCCACCGGTGAGGTCCACGGTCATACGGCAGGTAACACACGCAAGGATTCAGCACTCCGCACCCAGAACTCCCCTCTCCTCTCTCCCCTTTATATCCCCTGGTCCACATTCCTTGCCAGTCAATCATTGCCCAGGGCTTTTGTCCTCGAAGATGACTCGCTGAGTCGAATACTAATATTTTCCCAGGGCTTTGCCCCAAGTTATGATTCACTGGTCATGTGTGTAGCCCATTATCTATCCACTGCTGGATGACGGCTCCCCACGCGTGTGTCGGACATTGGGGGGTTGTTTAAACTTCATCATGCTCGTCAGTGGAAGTTGGAGGAGAAGGGGATCTTAGGATCCGTAATGATCCTCTGATAACGGGAATATACTCCAATAATTAAGGGCCGGAGCGGTTCCACTCCTTGATTTGCATCAATGCAAGCTGGTGAATCAAGGTCTTCAAGGAAACAATTTGATTCTTCAATAAAATCCCATAATCGTGATGATTGGGGGTGATTTTTTTCAATGAAATTTGTTGTGAAATTGTTATGATACTCCGTGGTGTGTCTGTCATCAACAAATGTGAGATGATAAAAAAAATCCATGTACGTGTTTGCATTAATTTATAAAAATTGGGATTTTGGAAAAGCTCTTCTAATGTTACTATGAATAACTTTTGAGAAAGCGTGTCTCTTTGTTCCTTCCTTGTGAAGAGTTTGTATCTAAATATATTTTATTCAGGCCTTGTTTTGTGAGTGCTTGTATGATTTGCACCAAGTCAAATGCCTTTTCATAATGTACAAATGGTACTGTACTAGATATTGATTTATCATTTAAAATAACATATGTAAAGGAACAACAGGAACCTATATAAAAAATATAATAAAGAATGTTGCAAAGTTGTCCTCATGATATATCAGCTAAAGAATAGTAGTCTACAACAATTTGCTACAAAATTTTGAATATAATTGTTGGACGGATACAACTGGGACATATATTAATATTGGTATACCCAACGGAGTTATTTAAGGCAAATGAGGATCAAATTTATGAAAAACGTGATTTTGGAAAATTTAACTTGATAATGCAAATCAGCATATTAATGTGCCTAAAATTTTTTATTTAACCAGAACATACTTCATGCTTTGACATATGAATCGGATGCATGTCCATTATAGAGACCAAAAAAGGGAACACACGAATGAGAGAACATGCTCAAGTTCAGTTACACCATCTTGCCTGCTCAGAAAAGTAAGGTGATTGTGGCTTTGTGGAATAGTTATTAAAACAATTACACAACACCGATCTATAAACTCGCTTGACACCTGTCAGTAAGCGAGCGACACTTTTAATGTAGTCGTACTCCGAAATGTCATTGTGGCACAAACAACGTTTGCAGAATAACTATTGCATCAAAACAAAAGGTTTCATAGACTTCAGCCTTGGGCCTTTGACATTAAAAGGCTGCCAATCATTAGAATTTGTTTGCGAAATTCACCACCACCACTACCACCACCACAGTAATTATAAACCTATTGTGTAAAAATAAATGTAATGCTTTTGCTCAGTTTAAATGAGATCATGGTGTTAAACAGCAAACTCTAGCGTCACTTGTAAATGTATATGTTTAGCCGATTAGTATTTTTTGTACCAGAAAAGATGTTATCGAGATTGTGGGAACCTGCTGTACGTTGTTCCTTCTTACGGATTTGAATCGTACAATTTTAAAAGTTAAATGCCTGGGCCTGTTGACTGTTCCGAAGCAAGACTACAACACAGCAGCGTTGGAGGATGTGTTTGTATGTCTGTGGTTTGCAGTACAACACTGATGCCCTTTGATGGATCTCCACGGGGATCTGCGATCCACCACCAGCAAGCTTTGACCAACATGCACTAAGTCTGCTTTAACCCCTACTCGTCTCTAGAAATACATTACTAGTGCCACCTATTGGTGGAAGTTATTATTATTATTATTTTAATACGGCATGCAAGTAGCTGCCACTCTCCTCACCAACACGGCGAGAGCGGTAAAGGGTTCCAAGTCCGTTTGTTCCATCTCCGTCACACACAGACACAGCTCCCTCCTTCATACAGAGCTCTCTCCTCCTCCTCCTCCTCCGACGTGTCCCCTCTCATCTCCACCGCCCCCGATCCCATTCCCTAATCACTGTCACCTGATTGCCCAGTCACTGATCACACACATCGTCAGCAATCAATGGGATTTTCAGGTAGAGGGGGGCAACCCCTCCAGCAATGAAACATGATAGAGGAGTTGTTAGTAAGTAAGGACTCGTCCCTTGCTTTTTATTCGACGCGTGTGCGGTGATGGCGCAGCCACCGATCGAGGGTCGAATTCGAGCCGCGTTGTGTGATCGGCATCGCGCTCGCTGAAGCTGTTGATGCCTTCAGGGAAGTCGTGTCCTGTATACGCAACTGCGCACAATTCTGTGAGTCACTTATCACTGCTTTGCCGTTACTTATTGGCAATTATGAACTCAGACTATTGTCCTATCATCTCATAGAGTCCCTGGCACGTAACAATATGCTACACAGTGGCAGTGGGGGTCGCAAAATGCCGATTTGTTACTAATAAACCCCAGTGGTCAGCACGTAGGGGATGTTATGGGGATTGTTGTGGAGGACCGTCGCATGTTTATGAATTCTTGGAGATTTATATTTGCCCTCTTCCGATTCATCCCGAGATCCACACAAAGCACGTGTTGCGATCCACCCGTGGGTAACGTTCAGAGGTCGCGAACGCGTTTTGATTCCTTACCCGTACCCGGCCGCACCAGGGTCGCAAACAGGTACCCGTACCCGGCCGTACCCGTACCCTACCCGTACCCGGCCGGGTACGGGTAGGGTACGGGTATCGGGTACCCGATTGCGACCTCTGGGATGAAGCCATGTTGCAGACGCGGGTGGGTTGATTCTAGGAACTTGAATTGTGAGAAGAGACAAGACGTTGGGAAATGAGTGACAAACGGTGACTCACCAGTGACTCACGGTCTACCCGTACCCGTACCCGGCCGCACCACGGTCGCAAACGGGTACCCGTAATCAGCCGGGTACGGGTAGCCGGGTATCGGGTAGGGTACGGGTATCGGGTACCCGGTTGCGACCTCTGGTAACGTTCCACGCATTGGCCACCGCTGCAATCAACGGATTGTGAGCGGTCTCCACTCTTAGGCTGGGTTCACACGCCAGCCTCAAGTGACGCAATGGGGGTGGGGGGGAGGTGCGTAATCGATTAAACACGTAACTTGTTTCCAGCTGCTTGTAATTCAAATGCGGTTTTTAAGGGTTGGGGGTTACAAATTGCTCAACGCAGGGACTGTGGTGATAATGTGACGTAACATTTCTAAAGGTCAAAGTTGAAGGACGGGCCGGGTTGGGTTGGGTGGGGGGGTAAAGAGGCAGCTAAAGCAGCCTTGGGATTGGCTCAAAGGAATCGCAGCCATATTTGATCAACCGCCATTTTATAAAAATGTGCTCGTGACATCTTGAGATGAATAGAAGTGAGGGGGGCATTTTTACATGGTCCGCGTGACCAATACTGCACTGCATCCAACCCGCATTCCGTTAGGGGGACAGACTAAATAGACTGTGACAATACCAGAACTGTCTAATAATGGGGAAATACACACGGGGAAATGTACAATTCCTGGAATGTTATACTGGGGTGGAAGGTAAGAACTGTAAGAGGCCTAAGGTCGACTCAAACTATGAATGTACACGGAAAGTGACCCTGACTTTTCCCTCACCTGTGGTGGCGATAGTGGTGGTGGTGGTGTGAACAAGTTGTATGTCATGTAAGGCATGCGGCGTTCACCATATCTAAGCCTAAAAACCTGAAACCAACCTTATAGCTGACAAGCTTTCTATGGTCAACTTTATTTTCAATTAACAACATGATATAAAACAGAACATCTGAAGAATATAATTAAAAACACGCCAGTGCAGTAATCTCCTGAAATAGGGTCTTGACACCCACATATTTTCTGGGTACAAAAATTTACCAATATATGCTGGCTCCTATGAAACGATCTACAATGTTCGTTAACTAATTTTGAATCATATGGATGGGGAATGATTATATTTTTAAAATGGAAAACGATTAAAAACTACTTTTGAAAAATTATCTGCGGGTTCTGTTAGACCTCTTCGGCTGCAATGGCCATCATGGTTGCCACTTTAGTGCAAAATGGCCATCATCAGCGGCAGGCTAAGTCCAGCCAGATAGTGGGCGGATGGGGCCGTGGCAGCGTTTAAAAGGCTCTTGTTGTTACAGCCATCCTTCTGGCAGCAGTGGTTGGTGTAGGTCTTGTCTTTTGAATAGGCCATACAGCTCCTGGTGCAGCCCTTGCTCACGCTCAAAACATCTGAAGAGCCGGGGATATCTGCAGGGACAGACAAACTACGTTGTTGACATACTTTGTGATTTATTTCCAAGCACGTACTTGTAATTAAGGTGAAATAGATTATTATGCAAGCTATGCATTGAAGTGTGCATTTTTTTAAATCATGGCAAGTGGTATTATGAATACAGTATGTTTTGGGCCTCATCTCATATCAACTTGGCGTTGAATTGGTGTGAACCTGAGAAACCGGGGAATTAAAGTAAGCCTGGCTTGGTACTGGTCACAACACATTGCGTGCAGTATTGACCTTCATAACTCGATTGCAAACAGCACTCTCTCGTTCAGTCTAAAAGGGAGGCTGCAGTGACATAAAAAGTGCCGCAGTGATGCAACAGTGAAGTCACGAACTCCAAGGACACAGCCAAGGTGTATATCTATCAAAATAAGAACTGTCGATTTTGGATTGTTTTCTTTGTCAAAAGTCTGATTCATGGCCGAGGTGCAATTGCATCGAGTTTACCAAAAGGTAAACGTGGAGGAAAATTATCCGATTAGAAACTCGATGAGTTAAATCTGGACGGAGTCACTTACTCGCGGCTCGGGGAAGAGGAGGGGGAATAACTTACTTATGGACTCTGCTGTCTCGTAGCAGTATCTTGCGTCTGCATTTCTACAGAACTCTGTGTTCTGCTTCGTGCAGGTGTCGAATGAGTTGCAGGTAACGCACTTAAGTGGGCTAGGTGCGTTACAGCTGTCTCCATTACATCGAGCTACAACTATAGATGGCAGGAAAAAAGCGAGGTCGCTCATGCACCCCTTATTCAGGTATGTGGCGGCACCTGTAACAGACAAAGTCAAACAGTGATGCCACGTGGCGGTCTTAACGCTGGTAGACTTCTGCGGGCACCGACTCCATCGGTAGTCCTGAGCCAGCGGTAGAAATTCCACATTCCTATGGTGGAGGGCAGTCAACAATGAACAATCACCACTGTTAGACAAAACCAAGTGGAGCTAAAAAATTGTTCACCCTGGAGGAATGGTGGTTGGTGGTGATGATGATGGGATCATGAGTCGACTTCCTGCTCAAATGTAACCTGTCCCTTAATTCACAGCCCTGATTAATCCACCACGTGTTCATGTAAACAAGAGGTTCCTTCCCCTCACCTGTTTCTCCAACAGCTGTGAAGCAAGCAGTTTCCATGGGGTCGGTGCAGTACGTCGGCTGAGCGTTTTTGCATTCTGCCTCTGAGGTGCAGGTTACACACTGCAGAGGCAAACCAATGTTGCAGCTATTTGTTCTGCAGCAAACTTTATGTTGGCACCCGGCGGCCTCTGCACACCCCTTAGCCACACTGTTGCGAGCACCTGTTCCAGAGACCAAGGGAGGAGAGACCACAGGGGAAGGCAAGGACAGGTGAGACGTACGCATCTGTGGTGCAAGTCGAGATATGTATACGCATGTGGAGTCATATAGCAATATATACATACATACTGTATATACATATACGGACACGTACCTACATATGTATACAAATGTATACATGACAATACGTTTTACTTCCAAGCTGTTGTTCATTGCATAATACAAAGTATTGAGCATCAACTTGAATTCATGAAGCGTCTTACTGCAGACCACACATCTCAAGAGATGCTGCACAACAGCGAGGCGCAAACACCCGGGGAACATTGTTTTACATTGGACAACATTGGTTGCCGGTTAAATAATGTGGGTTTGTTAACAAAACGATTGCCACGGGGCATTCCTCCCCTCAACTGATCTGGTTTCGAGGACTCGTTGTCAAAGACAAAGATCCCCCGTGTTGCCTTCACAGACTGTCGGGGCAAGTGCTGTTAGCGAGCAGCTGTGAAGGCCGGCACGGCACACGAGGGGGTGGGTGTCCAACATCACGCCTGACCGCCTTTGTCTCCCAAGTCCTGATCTTTTCACACCAGGTACTCATTTCACTCTGAGCGGAGCTCAGGGAGGCCCAAAACCGGTTCAGATATTCGCCGTCACTGTTATTGGTCGTGCGTGGGAATCGAAGTCGGATCGCCGGTGCAGTAGTATTTAAGGAACGAAACCGGTGGACTTCTCCACAAATCTGGCTGTTGCCTGATGAAACAGGTTGTAATTACTGCCGAAACGTCGTACTCAGATTGTAAATGTTGTGGCTTGGCTCTCCAACACACCGATGTGCTGTACTGGTAACGAATTGGCATGTTTTGTTTACGTGACAAACCTTACTAATTGGCTGTGTCGGGTGGTGGCAGGTTTAACGAGACATTTATATATTTACGCGATCTAACAAAAAAAAACCCTGCATTATGGGCAGTGGCGCAGTGTTCTAACCACTGCGCCACCACTCCCCAATATGACGGGGCACTCTGTACACATCTATATACACAAAAACAAAGCCAAAGATCCCCCATAAAACCTTTAACAGACTGTTGGGGCAAGTGCTGATAGCGAGCAGCACCTATGAAGGCCGGCACGGCACACGAGGGGGTGGGTGGCCAGCACCACGCCCGGCCGCCTTTGTTTCCTTAGTGGCTATGTTTACACATAGCACCATGTACTCATTTGAGGTTGAGTCGACCTAGGGGAGGCCCAGGACCGGTTCAGATAATCGTCACCAATGTTGGCCGTGAGCGGGAATAAAACTTGGGTCGCCGGGTTCGTAGCGCAGAGTGCTAACCGCTACACTACCGCTCCTCAGACACACACATAACACAAATACACATATCCAGACACACAAACACCATCACGTGTATGTTGCGCGTTCTCATGCAATTCACCAGGCGTGGACACCACCTCTGTGTAGCAGTGATCTTGTCCTGCCATGCAGTCTCTGGGCATGGTTTCGGTTTTGCACGATTCGCCCTGGCACTGGATACATTTCAGCGTCTGACCTGCCGAGGCATTCACACGCATATATACGTACAGACATGAGGACATTTCACAATTCATATACAGACACAAGCTGGCGGGCAGAGTGTCCTGCAGACGAGCCGGAACGTCCATCTGTATACCAGTAGTTGTCAACGGCAGTCCTCGCGACCCTGACACCGAACAACTCACCGGACATTTGAACCTCATGGCGGGACCCCGGGGTCACACAAGCCCCCGGCTCTCGCATAAACTGCGTTGCGACCTCATTTTATATCTGTTGAAGGCGAACGATACGGCAATCTATTCCTCTCGACGAGCTCTACACGATGCGCTAATCAAAGTTTTGTTTCTTCTGCGCGCTTGGACGACATGACGACAGAATAATCCGCGCCAGGTGAGTCGCGGCGCTTATGTGCGCGGTGGGACCAGAGTCGCAAAATAATAATTCATTAATTAAACAATTCTTACGTTTATTCGGGACCCCGCGGTCCCGCCATAAGGTTTATTGTTTAGCCGGGGAATTCTTTACCGGTTTCAAACTTCTCTAAGTTTCTTTGGCACAGAGTAGCCTGTTATAATGCTTCTTAGGTAACTGGACGTTATAAACAAGGACATTTACATATGCACGAAATGTCAACGGTCTCTCTCGCCTGGTAGAGGACGTCAATCACATGAGACAATTGATGTCATTGCGCTCTCTTCTGTCTCAATTAAGGGCATCGATTATTCGCAAGAGAACAATTCTCAAAGGACCCTTTGCCTAAATGGTAAATAAAGTAAATCAGTGACAGAAATGAATTAATGTGAATGCAACTCTCCCCTGGCTAAATGGATGGACACTTGTAGGCGAAAGGAACTGACCTGTAGCTAAAGCTGCCAGACAGGTGATGCCAAGGAGGAACAGCTGGGTTGCAGGCTCCATCACCAGAGACGACGAGGAGGTATGGTACAACTTTCGATGATGAGCGCGCAGGCACCAACAATGGGGAGATGGAGCGGCTGGTAATGCTTGCAGGCAGGAACTAACTGATGACAACCAACGCAAGGTCCCTTTTGTATTTATATATTGCGTTTGTCAGCTTATTCGTTTTATTGCTGTGGAGGCATCACTATAAAATTATTAATTTCGCAATTAATATTGCCAGTTGGAATTTGAATGACGCTTATTTTATGAGTTTGTGGAGGGCTATATTTACATAGTTGGCTGGGTTACGAGAGTTAGTATGGCTGTTAATGGTAATTCGTGAGAACAGCGTGGATGGTTAAGTGCGTTGGCCATTTTGCAACAAGCTGGCACGACATCACCTTGGAAGCAGGATTGGCGGAAAATGTTCAAATGAAGCTACGTGTGCAAACCTCTGGGGGTCGGTGTGGAAGTGGTGACAATGCTGCTGCTGATACTACATAAATGCTTATTTTACTGATGATCGTGCACTGATGCTGCTGTCACAGCTACGTTGACACAAACCTATGCCACACTCTTAAAGTATTATGCACGTTATAGCGGATGAAGTATGTCCATAGGATATGGATTGTGTATAGGAACTGAGAAAAAAAATAAACCAAAAGGGACATACAAAGTCCGTCACGTTAAAAACAGCGTTCAGCCTCTAAATCAAGGGACGGGGAGCCCCATACGGCCTGTGGACTGCACGCGACCTGCGACTTCATTTCATACGATCCGCGGACACATGCGGCTTGTACCTCGAGAGGCAGCCCACTAACAACGAGCGAACGTCTACTAGAACCGCTGTGGCAATGTCCCAGAGGCGGTCAACGCTTTGGTCCTGTGTACAGAGTCACACGGTGTGATGTCAGTGTCTGCAGTCTACCTCTGCGGCAGGCGTACCGTACCATAACTCTACACACAGGCTTGTATATAGGACGCAGTTTGTGTATAGGACACACTGTTCAAAGGCTCATCATCGTTAGCCTTGGATATTAATTAACCATTGCCTAGCCAAATGCAGAGTCCGCGAGGCATTGTACAGTCTGTTCTCCAATAGCGCGGAAGTTGCGTTCCTGAAGAACACCGTGTTATGACAAAAAATCGTGTTATAATAACCATAACCCCTTAATCGGAATTAAGGGGTTATGGAGTAGGAGGTTTCTAAAACAAACAAAGAATCCTTGCCGTCGCACTTATGTGTGTTGCAGAAGCACAACTTTGCTGAATTGTTTTCTGCATGACCACGAATAGTGCGCAAATAATATCATGTTCTTTCGTTTCGTTAATACCGCTTTATCGCATCGAGTTTTTGTTCAAGGGTAATAGCTTTTCTTTTGTTCACTTCACTTCCACTTGTACAACTACCAGAACGCTTCGTAGCCTTGCCACTCATTGTAATTAAAATCAACAAAGTTGTATGCAAAGTGAGACAAATTATATAGGGTAAATCATGAAGGGTAAAACACGTGAGATGCGTTTGCAGGCTGAAAAAAGACTGAGGTGCGTGGGTAGCATCTAGAAACATCCAGCAGCATCCCGCCTTGTGTGATGCTACGCCGAGGCAGCAGTACAACCGCTTATTCCTACTTGCACGACGTAGTTCTGTTAATCACATTTTATCCAATTCGCATCCGCGTTATAAAATGTGTTCCCCAATACATTCATTGCGTTATATCTCATTTGTGTTATGAAAACACGCGTTATGAACTGACTATACTCAGTGGAAATTGATATGGACTATATAAAGGTATGGACTGAATAAAGTAAAGTTTGAGGTGTGATGAAAAATTACATTGTATTGGAAATGCTGACTAATCCATTTATGTACGGTCATTAGTAGTTATAGGGTTGTACTTTAGTTTTCGTCATTGCATTTCATTCATCACGTTTTTGAACCAGCTGTCCAGGTTTTGGCCAACACCTAGCGCACTTTTCACCCAGTCTCTACGAGTCATTATGTATCTCTATGTGTCTCTATGTATATCTATGTGTCTCTATATATCTGTAGTGAGTCCAACTGAGTCGCAGACGTTGTCTTGGGAGCAACACTAATTATTACATCAACTCAAACACAACACAACATAACGTAACCTACACATGGGTGTTGAACGCCCATCTAACCACGCTACGGCAGATCTAGACACGGTTCCGCTATCCCCGTCCACACCACGAGCTGGGTCCCGGACCGCGTGGCTAGAGGCTTCTTCAACCCGACGTGGATCTTCTTCACCAACAACCTGAAGAGCCCCGAGCCCCTCACGGGGCCCCATTATATCGGCCTGGGCTGGGGCTGGGGCTGGCTCCACCCCTTGCCCCGCCCACCTTCTAGATCTCTCGAGCTCTTTCCCGAAGGCTCTCGAGAGCTCCTCTATACCACGTGACCGCCCAGTGGCCCCCGTCCACCGGTGGCCCCCCTCCAATATCATCCGGTCACGTGTCGGCAGGTCAACCAGCGTATCATGCCCCAACGTAACCCTGGC